GCAGGGAAGTCTACGTTTGTGCGTCTCCTCCAGGGGGCATCGGAGGACTGGGAAGTGATTCCTGAACCTATTGGAAAATGGTGTAACGTCCAGAATGACAGCAACGACATTTACAAGGTGAATAAAACACACCTGCAATGATGATGTCACACAGTGGCATCGGAATACTTCCTGTCCTTTCAGAATAAAGTGCTGATGTTTGCCTGCATGTCTCCAGGAGCTGAGTTCCTCTCAGAAGAGTGGAGGGAACCTGCTGCAGATGTTGTATGATAAACCTAGCTGCTGGTCCTACACCTTCCAGGTGAGTTAGTCAGTACCTTTTATTTATGTGACAACAACAAAACATAAAACAACATGAATCCACTGTACAGCAGATGTTACGAAACAAAGGGAGGAGCCTCAATTATTTGACTGTAATAAGGAAAGTAATTTAAACGTACAGAACACTTTAAATAAAACTGTATTTCATTATGTTCAAACAACAAACAAGGATGATACTGTCCAATCACCTTAGGCTTCTGCTGTTGTTTACTCCAACATTACAGACACTTCTCCAGTTCTACAGACATATCACTTGATGTCACTGTGGTCTTTGTTTTAATGATTTAATGACACTGAGATATTTAAAACCATCTCTGAATTTTCTCCAGTGAATACAAACTGTGGTTCACTAATATCTTTTAGTTTTGTCACTGTTAGGGTGAAATCACTACTGTGGTCTGTTGTTCATCCGTGAACATCAGCTGGATGTGATCATCTATTGTGTAACCGTCTAACTGATAACTGATATCCTCACAAAGATTTAACACTGTTAAAAAATACATACATATTTATGACGAAATCCAGTAAGTTAATAAATTTAATGAAATCCCTGCTTTGAACAGTTAGACTCAGAGTTTCCATCCACACTGTAAAGGAAGAACAGACAGACTCGTCATCACTGAATAGTACAGACGCCTCTGTAACTGACCCAGTCGTCAGGAACCAGAACCATGTAGTGGTTTTGATGAGCTCCTTCAAGACGCTGTCTCTGCTTCTTTTCCTGGTTTTATTTTTAGAAAAAACTTCCTTCATTTGTTGTTAAGTGAAATTACCATTGGACAGTGTTAAACACCAGATCTCAATTTCCTCCTGGGGAGTTCATGTTGCTGCTTCTTCTTCACTGTTTATTTTCTCAACTTTTCAGTGTTCCCATCTTTCATGTGTCTACTCTCTGTTTAACCAGGAAATGTAAAAATACCACAAACCTCCTTTATTTCATCCACTGACAGGTTACCTAGGTAACAACAACGTTTAAACTTTTACAGGTATCATCAGGTATCATCCATCATGTCACTATTTGTTTCCTCTAAACTCACCTGCTTCTCTTTATCCTGACTGACTGAAGTTCAGCTGATCCACTGCTGGACTCCCTATATCTGTCTGTCTCACCTGTCTCTGTCTCACCCTGACCCTCGTCACCTGTCTCTCACCTGTCTCTCACCTGTCTCTGCAGAGTTATGCGTGTCTCAGCAGAGTTCGTTCTCAGCTTCAGTCTCCGTCAGTCAAACTTCAGCAGGCTGAAAACCCTGTTCAGTTCTATGAACGCTCTGTTTACTCAGACAGGTAACTACACACCTGGGACACCTCACACATACATGCAGTATTTGACAACACTAAGTGTGTACTCTGTGTACAAGTGCATATTACTTCAGTAAGTGTGTACTGTGTGTACAGGTACGTGTTTGCGTCCAACCTGTTTGAGTGTGGTAACCTGTCAGACACAGAGTGGGCTGTTTATCAGGACTGGCACACCTGGTTACTGAACCAGTTTGAACCTGAGATCGCCCTCGACGGAATCATCTACCTGAGAGCCCAGCCACAGGTATTACTACTACTACTACTATTACTACTACTAACTATTACCACTACGACTACTACTAACTACTACTACTAAGTATTAGTACTACTACTAATACTATTACTAACAACTACTACTAACTACTATTACTACTACTACTAGTACATTTGTCTGTATTGGTATAATACTCCGTATCTGCCTTCAGGCTCCTGAGTATTTGCTGTGATTTTCAGCGCTGTATGCAGCGGTTGCTCCACCGGGGACGGGAGGAGGAACAGGGGATTCCTCTGGAGTATCTGCAGCAGCTACACTTCAAACATGAGGCCTGGCTCTACCACAGGAACCTCAGGTAACAACTCCACAGCAGTTGTATGTGTAATATATTTTCATTAAAGAGTGTGGAGTTTTCTGAAAAACTTGACGTTCATTTATTTCTCAGCGTCTGAAACAGAAACATGAAATAAAACGTTAAACCTGTGACTGTTATTTTAAATCATTAGCTTTGCTTCAGAAAATGGATTTGGCTGAAAACAGCAAGGTCTTTAATCAACATTTCAGTTCAGGTTTAATTTTATAGTTGATGAACAATGATTTACATTAAAAGTCAAAAGCTTTAACGTCTCAGATGGTTTTACTTTCTGATATATAGATATCAGTTTTCATGGTGATGAACACATGAGTTTGATAAAGGATGAATTAGCATGACTTGTGTTTGATCAAAAGTATTAAAAGTCAGTAAACACGTCACATTTACCTGACTCTGTGTGCTCAGGTTGGACTTTGATTACCTGAATGATCTACCTCTTCTGATTCTGGACGTCGACGACGACTTCAAGAATGATCGTATCAAACAGGAAGCCATTGTCGACAAGGTTCGTTTTTATTGTACTTTTATTTTTCTGTTGTTCATGAGTTTAATTTTTATTATCTGATCTGGAGTCTGTTTCCTCCTGCAGGTCAGAGACTTTCTCACCACGCTGTAGATTCATCTACCAATCAGAGCTCAGGATGTGAGCGGCAGCTGCATCTGATTGGATGATGCAGTTACACTTTGTAAATGTTTCTCTGAATTTTTAATTTTTGTTTTTGTCCGAGCGTCAACTCAGGGTTCCTGTCAGCTGATGTTTCAGAGCTTCATTGGAAAACCTCAAGTTTGTAGCAGCAGAGTTTTAATCTTTTTCTTAACTTCATGTTGATTTTTATTTTTTATATTTTGTAGATACATTTTAAAATGAGTCAGTGAAGGCATCGTGTGTGTGTGAGTGAGTGTGTGTATTAAAACTATGTATTTACTTGAATTAGCTCAATATGCTTCAGTCTGGATCAGTTTCTCTCATAAACACTTGGTGCTTGTTTTCACTGACAGCAAACTGTCAGTGAAGACACCATGATGCTTTCAGGGACTAACACTTGATGTTTTTCTCTGGCGGTCTCTGTAAATCTGAATGGGTGAATAAATGAAATCAGACCTCACTGTTTGTCTGAAATAATTTTACTTTTTGACTTGGATGTTATTAAACCAAACTTAATTTAGAAATCAACCATTTTAAATCTCCATCACATCAACAAATATCCAACATGTTAGTGAAACAAAGACTGTACTACAGAGTACTGTGTGTACTGTAATACTTTGTTCTAACATCAAATGACAAAAGACAATAAAGTTTGAAATTTGAAAGATTTCAATAGATCTTCATGATTCAGAGATAAACTGACTTACTGATACCACACAGATACATATATACAGTATGTCTATTGACCAGCAGGTGACAGTGATGAGTCATCAAGTTCCTAAAGATTGTTAAAATAAAAGTGGATAGTTTTTACATAATGTAGAAAGAAACAGAAAAACATTACATTTGTGCAGATGAAAACTTGAGTGGAGTTTGGTCTGCAGTGGCATCAGGTAGATAAAGGGTTAATAAAACATGGGAGTGGTTCATGTTTCAGTCCAGATGTGAATGGAGGACACTGTCATCATGCTAACAGCAGCTAACAATGATTGTAGCGTTTAACTTTGTAGAGTTAATGCTCAACATTGAAACATTTAAAGTCAAACTAACAACATGTTGAGTCATGACGAAGTTGTGTAACTGGCTAATCACTGACTGAAGATCACAAACAAGACGATACAAAGATCTGAAACATCCTTGTTCAGTCACACCTGGACGACAACAGGTGACACTCAAACTGATCATGTGACACAGACACTTGAACTTTAGTTTGTGAGAGTAACTGAGTTTACTGTGAGCAGTTAGCATGTCACACACACGTATATTAAAATTCATAATGTGTTTATTGTTATTTATTGATGTTTTTTATTTGTCTGTGAACTGCATTTTTAAATATATTTGTTTAAGACCATAAACCACAACATTAAAACCCATTACAGCCTGTCAGCTGACAGAGGTGGTGCTTCATATATCTGATAGCATCTGGATCAGCCCAGATATCAGACCATGGGGGGTAACCATGGGGGCTGGATGGGGGGGGGCATCTCATCACGTAACGAGCATCTGTGTGTTGAGTTTGTCGTTGTGAACCTGCTGAGATGTTTGTTGACTCAAACTCAGTCGGACGAATTCCAGGAGGGAAAAACTCAGTGAGGAGCGAGGACACGAAAACAAACTCAACTCAGAGCATGGAGAGACAAGGAGGAGGTCTGGAGAAGCCTGGATGGAGGAGGTCTGGAGAAGCCTGGAGAGTCCTGGACGAAGTTTGGAGAGACCAGGAGGAGTTCTGGAGGAGGTCTGGGGAAGCCTGGGGGGGGGTCTGAAGACGTGTGAAGGAGGCCTGTACAGTTGGGAAGAATTTTTTTTTATATTTATGTGATGTTTATGTAAGTTTTTATTCTAGGTTTGTGATCAATCATTTTTATTTTATTCTTTATTGTTATTTGATTAATCTGGCAATTACTTCAAAAATGACTTTTTTGATTTATTCACACTGAAACGTTTCTTCTCAGAGAGAGAGAGGGAGAGAGAGGAAGAGACATCAACCATTAACCAAACAACAAATGATTGTAGATCCAAGAAAAACAGAAGGGGGGGCATAAAAAAAAAGAAAAAGACGACAGGAGAGAGAGAGAACGAGAGTTGGTGCTGACTTTTCTTTTTAAAGTTACTTATTAATGTTGAGTGATTTGTTTTCTGCTGCTCCACCTCTCCGTCCATCCATCCACCTGTTCATCCGTCCATCTCTCCACTCCTCCACCTCCAGTCAGCTGCAGACTGTAAGTACGTTTTCACTGATTTACTGTGAAAATCCTCTTTCACTCTGTTTTCATTCAGCTGTAATCCTTTAAGAACTCTCACCAGACTCCATGCAAATATTTCACCTTTTTAGAGTTCACTGTAAAACGCTGCTGCAGCAGTCAGTAGTTCTAGAGATCACAGACAGATTTATGGAGGAACAACCCCACAATCCGCAGTAACATGAGGTTTGGATCGTTTTGGTGTTTCAGTTTGACCTTTGACCCAAAAAGTTTTTAAATTGAATCTATGTTTTCAAAGAGAAACTTATTGAATAATTGTATTGTTCTGTTCTCAGGTTTTTTCTGAAGGAACTGAAGCTCAGACCTTGAAAACAAAAGACATCTGTTAATATTATTATCATTATTATTATTGTTGTTATTAAATGAACAGCTGTGTTCGACTGTGGAGCTGAAAACATGAACAAACTGTTTTAGAAAATATTTTCAGTAAAAGGGTTAGGGTCAGTGGGGTTAAAGTAAAAATATAAAAACGAGATTTTAGAGATCAGAGAGAGAGAGAGAGAGAGAGAGAGAGAGAGATGGGCTTCGCCGACCTGCTGGAAGAGGTGAGTTTATTACTGATGATTTTATTACTAGGTCATGTAGTCTGTTAACTTTGTCATGTAATCTGATTACGATGACATGTAAATGTAATTTGATTCCTTCTTCATATGTGATTGCTGGGTCATGTAATCTGATTATTGTGTCATATAATCTGATATAATCTGATTATAGTGTAATATACAGTGTATCACACTGATTACAATGTAAACTGACATCAGATGAACTCACCTGGCCAGGTAGACCAGATGTATGATTCAAGTGAGTGACATTGCGTGTGTGTGTGTGTGTGTGTCCACCCCCCCCTTTTTTTTTTTTTTTTTTGGTGAGGTGGGCGGGTTCGGCAGGTACCAGTGGCTCCATGTGACTCTGATCAGTTTACCTGGTTTGATGATGGCAAGTCAGAACCTGCTGAACAACTTCGTCTCAGGAATTCCCGCCCACCACTGCAGCCTGCGGGCCAATCAAAGCTTCTACAACCTGTCTCACCACCAGGTAACCTGTCGCACCACCAGGTAACCTGTCTCACCACCAGGTAACCTGACGGATGTGATTGGTTGTTTCAGGTGCTGAAAGCTTTCATCCCCCTGGACTCTTCAGGAAATAGACTGGACCGCTGCAGGAGGTAACTCTCTTCCTTCTCTCCATGTTTTATTGTATCAGTGAATAAACTTCCTCTGACATCACTTCGTGTTCCACCTGTTGTTGTGCAGGTATGTGGAGCCTCAGTGGCAGCTGTTAGCCACTAACAACTCAGCTAACATTAGCCAGCTACACACTGAAGGATGTGTGGACGGATGGACGTTTGACCGCTCTGAGTTCCTCGCCACCACCGTCTCCGAGGTAACGAGAAGAAAGCTTGACAGTGAGGTTAATGAATGTTAATTAAGTTAATGAATATTAATGAGGCTAATGAGGTGATGATTCTGTCCCTCTCCCTCTCTCTGAACCTGTCTGTCTCTCTGGACCTGTCTGTCTCTCAGTGGGACCTGGTCTGTTCTCTGCGTCCTCTGAAACAGATGATTCAGACCATCTATATGGGTGGAGTCTTAACAGGAGCTATCATCTATGGCGGACTGTCAGACAGGTAAGTAACATCTATTCATAGAAACATTCAGTCCGTGGACCAGTGTGATGTCTTCATGAATGTGTCCATGTTTTAGTTTCACGTCCTCTGTCCCTGTGTGCAGTAAAGTCCAACCAGATACAAACTGTCTCTCTTTGTCCCTCAGGTTTGGGAGGCGGTCTGTCCTTATTTGGTCTTATCTGCAGCTTGGCGTGCTCGGTTGTAGCTCCGCCCTCTCTCCCACATACTCGGCCTACTGCATTTTTAGGTTTCTGAGTGGGATGGCGGTGTCCGGAGTGATCCTCAATGGAGTCTCACTGAGTACCTGTCCATCTCTACACTTTTCTATCACCTGTCTACCTGTCTATCTCTGTATCTGTCTGTGTACCTGTTTATCTGGTTCTGATGGAAACAAACTGATGATGTGTCCTCAGCAGTAGAGCAACTTGTCCGTATACCTGTCTCTCTACCTGTCTGTCCTTAGAGGTGGAGTGGATCCCGACAAAAGCCAGGACCTTAGTGGGCACGCTCACTTCCTTCTTCTTCACTTTTGGTCAGATGATCCTGGCGGGGCTTGCCTATTGGCTGAGAGACTGGAGGAAGTTGCAGGTGGTCGTCTGTGCTCCTCAGTTCCTGTTCTTTGCCTACAGTTGGTCAGTGGAGACTCTCAACGAATGTCTGTCTGCTCTCTGATTGGTCAGGTGGTTCTTATCTGTCTGCTCTCTGATTGGTCAGGTGGTACTCAGAGTCAGCTCGTTGGTTGGTCCTGAACCGTCGCTCTGAGGACGCGTTGAAGAGTTTACACAGAGTTGCTCGAATTAACGGGAAACCAGAGATGATCAACAAGTTAACGCTCGAGGTAACCTGTCTGTCTGACTACCTGTCTGTCTGTCACATGTATGAAGATGTGTGCAACTGTAATCAGGGTCATGTGACTTTCAGGTGCTGAACTCTCACATGAATAAGGAAATTGAGTCAAGTCGTTCGTCGTTCACAGCGTACGACCTGCTGAAGACAAGAGGGATGAGACGCATCTCAATCTGTCTGATCGTTGTGTGGTAAGAGAATAGACTCGGTCTGCCTGAGTCACCTTTACTCACCTTCTTTCATTCACCTGTACTCTGTGTTAATTAATTACCTGTATTCATTTCTTTATTCTTTTAGTTGTATCTGTATATTTACACTTTTTCCAAAGAAACAACAAATAAGGTTCAGACATATATTTACCTGTCCACCTTTCTGTATACCCACCTACAGGTTCTCCACCAGTTTTGCATACTACGGTTTGGCAATGGACCTGCAGAAGTTCGGGGTCAGTCACCTGATTAACGTCAATGCTAAATACTAGAACAGCCTCTGACAACTTCCTGTACACATGGCTTTCCTGTTCCATTTAGTTTAAACTCTTCTCCTGTTGGTTATTGGTTGTTTCAGGTGAGTATCTACCTGATGCAGATCATCTTTGGAGCTGTAGATTTTCCTGCCAAACTGTTGGCTCTGGGCATGCTCACTTACCTCGGGAGGCGGGTCTCTCAAGCTACCTGTCTCTTCCTGTCGGCCTTCATCATCTTTGCCAACATCTTTGTCCCCACAGGTGACACAAATACCCACATAAACAGTACACAGTATTACACTCACACACAAACAATAATACACAATAATATGCACACACAGTTAACAGAAATAGTCACTGATACACACAGGTAACAATACTAAACACTAACACATGAATACACACATTACACACATACACATGTATACGTTTGTGTTTGTATATTTTGTGTGTATCCTGTGTCCGTAACACTGAACCTGATTCTGACCCCCCCGACCCCACCACAGACATGCAGACCATCAGGACCACTTTGGCGTGTCTTGGTAAAGGTTTCACCTCGGCATCTTTCACCACAGTCTACCTGTACACTGGAGAGCTCTACCCCACCGTCATCAGGTGAGACTCACACTTCATATCCTGAACACAGGTACTCTGTGAAACTGGGGGCAATCCTGAGCAATAACCCATTTCTGTTGTATTTAAATTATTATTATTTATATTTTCTTTTATATTAACATTTAGCAGTTTGTTTTTTCTTTGCACCTTCCACTTTGTTGCTGTGGGACTAATAAAGGAATATTTTATCTTATTCACAGACGCACTGCTCCACATCAATGTTAGAGGAGAATCCACTCCACTGATGATCATTTATAGATCGGTGTATTGATCACATGATGTGTGTGTGTTTGTGTGTGTGTGTGTGTGTGTGTGTGTGTGTGTGTGTGTTTTCAGGCAGACAGGAATGGGCTTTGTCTCCACCATGGCGAGAGTCGGCAGCATGGCGGCCCCTGCTGTCCTCATCCTGGACGAGGTGACATCACCCATACGAACCTTATTAAACCTAAGATAACACTCTTTTTAAAACTCTTTATTCATGTACATATAATTCAACCTAACCCTACAATGACAGAGTCACAGAGCCGTGGTTTAGTTACTGAAAGGTGGAGATCCATCACATCTGAAAGAGGATGAAAAAAAAATACATATGAACGGATCTATATTTAATTATTTAAGTTCTTACACCCTGAATCTGATCTGTGAAATCATACATTTTTCCAATAAAGGAGCTACGTGTGGAATAAAAATAAAAACATTCATTTAAATGGTGGTTACATGAGCCATCAGTAACATATCCGTGTCCGTCTGTTTCAGTCTTGGTCCTAAATGTGTAGTTCTGTCATTTCCACTAATATTTGTGTTTTACAGCAGGTAGTCAACTGATAGAGTGTCACACCTCAACCTGTTTAAATTATACTGAGACACAGTTTTATTCTTTTACAATAACTGTAAGCGCTTGTACAAACCTCGAACATATATAACATCATGTCTTTAGCATAAAGTTTGGTCTCATAACAAACTGCTGTTTGTTCTGAAATGTGAGTCAGAATAAAATGCAGAGAAAACAGAAGATTACTGACCATACTGATGGACTACATTTCCCAGGTTCTCCCTGCTCTGCCCAGTATTGTGTATGGGGGAGCAGCAGTGTTGGCCGGATGCTTTGCATGCTTCCTGCCAGAGACACTGAACGTCCCACTGCCCGACACCATCGAGGATGTGGAGGAGAAATGGTGAGCTAATAACTAACAGCTTCATTAGCAATGTTAGCCTCAATAGCTTCATTAATGAAGGACAAGCCAGGGCCCAGTGTACCAGAAGCTTCCTCAATTACTGTCTTGATAAGAAACAGAAACATGCTCCCTCTTAGCCATATCTATCATAGCCATGCAGACAACAATGATTTATTTAGCTCTTTGACCTTGTGATTTCAGTCCCATTGACTCTTTGTATCTGTGCCTTGAAAAAATGACTGGCTGGATGCAACAAAACTTTCTCCAATTAAGTAAAGACCAGACTGAGATAGTTCTGTTTGGGAACAAGGGTTGGGAACTAAGGCTGTAACATAGTGAATACCTGGAGTCTAGAGCACTTGAGACTTCGACACATTTGAAAAATCTCAATGTGATTTATTTCCTTTATTTTACCAGGAAGTCCCATTGAGATTAAAAAAAAATCTCTTTTAGAAGAGAGGCCTGGATCATGGAGGGGTCATCTTAGTTTCAGTGACCGCAATAAAGATGTAACTAAATCTGCATTTTGGCATCACAAAAACAGCTAGGGTCAGAGACTGTGTCTAACCGAGACTTAGAAAAACTCATTCATACCTTTATATCTTCCAGAGTCAAGTGTCACAACACTCTCCTCATTGGTTGATAAAATAAGACCATTAGACAGATTCAACTTATTAAGATGCTGCTGGTTCTTACTAAAACTGAGAGGAGAGAGCATATTACTTCTGTTCTCAGGCCTTTGCACTGACTTCCAGTCAGATACAGAACTGACTTCAAAGTTTTACTTATTGTCTACAAGAGTGTTTCCATACCAGTGGGCCCCATCCCACTGGTGGGCTGCTAAGGTATTGCAAGTGGGCCATCAAAGAGTACAGTTTTAGTGAAATGAATTATTAATTCGCAATTATTAAGGACTATCATTGTGATAAGCCAATGGTTGATTGATATCATTAAAATAAAAACTGCTGTAAGAAGGCATTATTTCGCCTTCATATTGTTATGGGGTTGGATGTGGGCCGCCACCATTTTTAAGATAATGAGTTAGAAAAGGTTGTGAACACCTAATCTATAAGTCACTAAATGATTTGTGCTCTAAATATATTTCTGAAATGTTTGATGTATATAAACCTAACAGGTCTCTGAGATCTGCAGGAGCTGGTCAGTTAGTGGAGACCAGAGTTAAAACTAAACAGGGTGAAATGGCTTCTTGCTATTATGCTGCCCCTGCTGGAACCAGATCTCAGTGGATCAAATAAGATTTGCGTAAAATGTAACTGGCTTTAAAAAAAAGCTAAAGGAGCGCCCGGTGGCTGACCTGATGGACTGTGTAAGGCTTAGTCCTAACCACAGCAGCCTAGGATCAAATCCAACCTGCAGTCCTTTGCTGCATGTCATCCCCCCTCTCTCTCCCTGACTTTCCTGTCACTCTCTCACTGCAACTATCAAATCAAAGGCAGAGATGCCTAAAAAAATTAATTAAAAGTGCTTTCTGTGAAGCACATTGAATGATAATGTGCTATACCAATACATTTGCCTTGCCTAGTTGCATTAGCTTTAACATTCCCTACTGACATAGAGCAGAGTGATGCTAATGCCAATTGGTTACTTAGCTAGTTACTCTGCTACTCTTGTTTACCACCTACCTGATCAATAACTGACAAAATAAATATCAGTAACTGATAACTGTTTGTCTTTCTTTTACAGGTCTGCAACAAGCCCTGCCCCCCGACAGAAAGAGGGCGTGTCCTTACAGGAGGGTATGGTCTCTGCCAATGACATCGGCATGGTTTCACAGGGGGACATCGCTTTAAAAGAGCTAAAGGAAACAGAAGGGACCGGCCTCAATGCCCTCTGACCAATCAGATGCTGCCACATCACACAGTCAGAGCCAATAGAGTAATGCATGGGGACACTGACTCCCTGTATCATGTAACAGTCAGACAGCTTTATGTTCTGAATTATTTACACTTTATTACACTACATTACCCATAAGCCTCAGCTGCTGTAGCCATGGAGAAGAGATGTGAATCAGGGCGCAACTTTGTTGTTACAGTTGAGAATTAAACATGTCACCATGGTTACTGAATTCATCCACAGCTGATCCGGAATTTAAAAGTGAACTGATTTAAATTGTAGATTGTTTTCAGTTTTGTCTCCATGTCATCTTTAGATCTTTAGTCCTGTTGCAGCAAGAGGAAACTTCCTGGACAGACATTTTGTTTTGATTTTGCATTAATTAATCATTGAAAATGATCATGGGAGATGATGGATACATTGTGGACAATTTGATTTTATTTCAACAGTTTTGTTCGACAGAATTCAGAGATTCTTAATTCTTAATTCAGTTTTTGTGAGAAGCAACTGCATCCTGATCCTTCACAATATTTTTCATACACATTTTTAATATGTCCAATAAAACCACAAGATCCACCATAGGGGCCACTGCAGTCAACCAATGAACCAATCGCATAGCTGGACACAACCACGACCAATCAGACAGCTGGAGTCATGAATTTGTGAAAAGATGTTGAAACTGAAGGAGGAGGGTTCAGAGTAAAAGTTCCTATGTGTTCCAGAGTAATACTGAAACATTTAATATATTGTAAGTCAGTCTAAACAAATTAAGTCAGATGTTATTATTTAGCTTATTATTAGATATTATTATTATTGATTAAAATCAAAGCAGGCACAGCAGACTAAAGTGTTATAATGACTGAGACGTGTTAAACAGTTTTGTCATTAATAATGATATATAAATAATCAATAATGGACTCACTAATAAAACTGTGATTATATCAATCAGGTGATCGTTGTTGTCTTTGTCTCAGGCTGTAAGGACGTTTGCATTAAGGAGTGGAGCAGAGGTTCACTGATATTAATGAACCCGACATTGACAGAATTGATTGACAGCTTTATATCACATCAGACTCTGTGAGATACAACATGTTTAACTTTACTGACACAACATGAGGAACAACAGAAGTGAGAGACACAGATGTCTGACAGAGCATCAAAGGTTCTGTAAATGATAGTCACTACCACTGGATGTCGCACTTGACCACGCACTTTTCTTTCTCTCATCTCTGCAGCAGAAACAGTCTGAAATTCACTTTAACTGTTTTATCTGCATCACATGTTCATAATTACATGTTGATGTTCATCATCAGACAACAGAAGAAACTTAATGATAATTCATGCACCTATTTACAATATAGGCTATCTTCAGTCTGACCTTAATAATATTTGTTAATGGATTCATTTATTGTTAGTTGACTCTGAAACAAATAGAGAATATTAACAGAAATAATGTTTTATGTTTTATGTTGAACTTCCTTGTGGTTTATTATATCCTAGATTATTGATCATATATTGTTTTTGTGTGATAAAGAAGATGTAGTTTTAATACATTTTTTTCACACATCAGTTGTGTTGTTGATGAAGATCAAATGTTTATCTGATCAGCTTGAAAGTTACTGTGATTATTTATTAATCTAGTTATAATTAATGTCTCTCTTCGTCAGACATTATATATTGATTGATCATACATTGACTCATCAGCTGTTCATTGATCTCTACTGCTTTTGTTTTTGTTTCTTGAAAAGGTAGACGCCCCCTGGCGGCGGTCTGACGCCTTAAAAGACTGACGGAATCAGCCACTCAGAGACGACGCTCTGCCTTGTTTAGTTTGATTGACAGAGATGCCAGCCAATGACAGTGCGCCTGCGCAGCTGGCAGTGTTGTGGGAAGGTGGGACGAGGCGCCGCTAGGCAGCACAGCGGAAGAAAATGGCGGCCGTGGCTGCAGAGCCAGGAGCTGCGGCGGTTCCGACAACAACGTCAACCGCGGCGACGGACGACGAGGGCCCGCCAGAACCGGGTCCTTGCGGCCCGGGACTCCCAGAAGCCCCGCTGGAGTCCAGCGGGCCGCGGGAGTCCGGCATTGCTGTGGAGCTGGTCGCCCCCCGAGTGGAGGATGGTGGGGACGGGGAGGAGCGCCGCCATGTCAGGCCGGAGCTGGAGCCCACGGCGGGAAAAGCTCTCTGTGAAACCGTCGTTAACGACGAACTGATCAGCAACTTCCAAGTGGATCGGATCAGCATCGACCGGTTTTCGCCAGGACTGCCGGGGGATCCAGAGGGCGGCGGGAACGTGTCGGTGCAAGCGGTGTACCGCAGCATCCTGCCGGACCCGCAGCCCTCGGCCGTCTTTCTGCACTCCTTCCCGGCTCCGCCGCCAGTCACCGAGGCCGGACTCTCTCTGGCCGAACCGGCAGAACCGACTACTAACGTCACGACGGACCGGGCCGAGACAGCGGGCCGAGACCGGGGCTACACGGTCTTGGTCCAACCAGAGCTGAGGCCCGGGCCCGCGGAGGACGCCATATTGGACGGTAATGCGGACCGGCTGTCGGTTCCGGTAAGCCTGGACAGCCTGGACAGCCTGAACCCGGAGACCGGCTACGCTAAAAACTCCGCTGGGACCGAAGAGTCGGCGGGCCGCGGCTTGCGGGACTCGTCACCGCCCTGTCGGTCCCCGAAGAAGCGGCTGATGACGGACACCGTGAAGCAGGAGGAGTCCTCCCGGTCCGAGCCCGGACCTGAACCCAGTCATGGTGGTCCCTCACTCGGCTCATATCAGGATCTGAGTCCCGGGTCCGAGGTCCGGGTCTCCCTGGACCATGTCATCGATGACGCGCTGGTGGTGTCCTTCCGGCTGGGAGAGAAGGTTTTCTCCGGGGTGCTGATGGACGTTTCCAAAAGGTAAAACTTTCTAAATAACTTTGTCACTGATGTGAAAGTGTTTAATGTTTTTATATGATCGTCAGAAACTCACCTGTAGACAGGTAACATAAATGAAGCTCAGCTGATCAGCACATAATCGATTAATATTTTATCTCAAATTTTCAAACGAAAGCTGCCGCTTTTACTGTTCTGTGATGCTTTTATCATCGCAGTAATTAATAACCAGCAGATTAATCAATAATTAAAACGATCATCTTTATTATAACATAATAAAGTTCGGTTTTTCTCATTTTTTCTGTTTTATTACTTTAAAATAAAACGTTTTTGACCATCAGTCCAAAAGCAGGTGAACATGCGGTCTGAAGAGGTGAAGCAGACCAGCCCGAAGCTGATGAAGGCCACAACCTGAAGCACGTTGGTCGGTCAATAAAGTTGCTCTATTCAGTGTTTCTGGAGTTTTTACTCCTCAGACCAACAGAACCTCAAAAATAAATAACAACAATAATAATGTTCCAAAAATATTTACTTTCACACACTGGATGATTCTGGGTTTCTTCCACACAAGTTCTTAGGCCTAGTGGTTCGACTTGAACCGACCTGGACTTGGATTGGCCCACATCAGTGTTTCCCGACATGCACCTTACATTGGTGTTACACCACTGCTGAGAGAGAGGGCTCAGTTTTATGTCTTTAGAAACAAACCTATTAGCACTTCGGCTAAACACCCGGGTCAGTTCACACACCTGTGAGTAAAACATATAGTGAAACGTAGCACTTACCTGTTAATGACAGAGCAACAATTAAAACAAGCGCCTGTAGCTGTCAACAATCAAGGAAAAAAGCTGATCATGGATTCAGGATTCTCATTTACTGAAGGGAAAACAGTCGAGCAGCTTCACGTGTCGCACAGTAACATTACAGCACACGCTCTTTTTAGCAGTGGATGATATGTCGGATATACTCCATGTGTTGCTTTAAGCTTGCCGGTGAATTCATTTGGTGTTTCTCTTCTCTCTCCTATGACTGTCTCCCTCTCACAGACAACGCCAGGGAACACAAATCTCTGCATCCTGTTTCATTCTGATTTTATTCTGACAGTCCTGACCAGAAGTTGTGACTCAACTCAGTCGCCTTAACACTACTTCAGACAGATTTTGCAGGGACTAGAGTCATCAGTACAGTACTGTAAAGAAACAGCAGAGTACAGTAAAGTAACAGTATAATTTGTGATCTATTGTTTCATGTGTATCTGAACATAAAAGGTAAAAATAAAAAGGGATATTTCTGATTCTTGTCTTGTACCCAGCTGTACTTGAGTCTCTAAGGTTCTCATCCTGTGTGTGTTGTGTTCAGGTTCGGACCATACGGGATTCCCATCACGGTGTTTCCAAGACGGGATGACCGGAGTCGACCTCAGATGTCTCTACACTCGGAGCCTGTTACCAATGACAACCCCTCCACCAAACAGGAGGAGGTCACTGTCAGCCCCCCACCCCCACCCCCACCTCACCCCTGGACCTCCAAACCACCGCCGCTGTTCCAGGAGGGTGCGCCGTACCCCCCTCCTCTTTTCATCAGGGACACCTACAACCAGGCCTTACCTCAGCCACCGCCACGCAAGATAAAACGGCCAAAGCGGCGCTATCGCTGTGAAGAGCCAACCTCCATCATGAACGCCATCAAGCTCCGCCCACGCCAGGTGCTCTGTGACAAGTGCAAAGGTGTAGTGGCATCAGGAGGGCAAAGGGAGGCGCGGCGGGGCACAGTGGATCTGAGGGGCGAGGAGGCGTCTCGTCGGCGGAGGCAAGCTGAGGGACCGATCTCCTCTGAGGTAAAACGGCTGAGGAGCGACGACAGGGGAGGGCGACCCGCTGCTGACAGAAGGTCATCATCAGGGATTTGTGTGTCATCTTCATCATCATCTTCCTCCCGCCGTGTCCTGAGGGGCGTGGCTTCATCTTCATCCTCGTCGTCACCCTCGTCCAGCCGCATACGTCTGAAGCTGAACTCTAAGAAAGGCCTAGCTAAAGGTTCTGCCGGCGATCGCTCCAAAGCACGGCAGGTTCTCAAGAAGCTGGCGAGGAGCTCGCAGCCGCCGCCACATCGCCGGCCCAAAGACCACAACCAGAACCAGAGTCAGAGCCAGAGTCAGGACCGCACCAAGGCTGTGACCCGAGCTGCTGCCTTGCAGAACCACAACCAGAAGGTGCACTTCACCCGCCGCCTGCAGCACCTCACCGGCACCGCAGTCAGCTCAAGCGCCCACACGTCGTTGCCACCCAGAATGCGCCTCAAACCCCAAAGGTATCGTACCGACGACAGCCAGACCTCCTCCTCCTCCTCCCTGCCCAAACAGATCGCTCGCTCATCGCCTCCCAAACCTGCTTTAAATCCTGTCCCCACATCGGACCCGGTCCCACCCACAGCCCCACCTCTTCCCTCAAACACAGCTCCTCCCCCAGTGCCCACCCCCGCCTGTGCAGTCAGTGTTGTCATGGAGACACAGGTCCGTCCTGCAGTGGAGGAGGTGACGGATGAGGAAGGGGGAGGAGGTGAAGGGCAGGTTGTGGAGCCTACTCCTCCTCCCTCCTCCTCTTCCTCCCTGGACTCGTCCTCCTCAGAGTGTAGCTCCACAAAGACCTTTGAGCCCCCACCCTCCTTCTCCTCTCCTCTCGCTCCTCCTCCCCCTTCGTCCTCCTCACTAGCGCCTCGGTGTTCCCCCTCTTTCTCCCCCGTCACCCCTCCCCCCAGATCTGACAGTAAGGAGACGCAGGCTGGCGATGAGGAGGAGGAGGAGGAGGAAGAGGAGGGGGGTGAACTGAAGAGGCGCCGCAAGTCTTCCACATCCTCCTCCTCCTCCTCGTCTTCGTCGTCTTCCTCCGTCTTCTCCAAGTCAGTGTCCAAGTGTTCTCTCCCCGACGGTCGGACCGTGTGCGTCGGCGACATCGTCTGGGCAAAGATCTACGGTTTCCCCTGGTGGCCAGCTCGCGTGCTCGGCATCACGGTGGCGCGTCGAGGCGACACAGGGCTGGCAGTGCGGCAGGAGGCACGAGTTTCCTGGTTTGGCTCCCCCACCACCTCCTTCCTGCCACTTGCCCAGCTGTCGCCCTTCCTAGAGACCTTCCAGTCTCGCTTCGACAGGAAGAGGAAGGGGCCGTACCGCCGTGCAATCGCAGAGGCCGCAAGCGCTGCCAAACAGCTAACGCCTGAAGTCCGAGCGCTACTCACGCAATTCGAGACGTAGCATCCGCCACTGTTAAATCCCCCCACGCCCACCCGTCTGTCAGAGACTGATGCAGACAGGTGGACAATGTTTCTGTCTCTGTTCTTCCTGTTTGAGGGGGGGTGGAGCTTCTGGGTTACCGGTCAGTGTCCTCAGTTCAGGGGTCAGTCAGCGGCAGTCTTTCCACTCGCCATCGAGTTACAGCATCTGTTTCTCATGAACGCAACTCTGATGATGATTGGCTGACAGACCGGACTGTCACACATTTACATCAATGATCATGAATCAACAAACACTAATTAAGACGTTAGAGATCGTCGCTTCGTTTTTTTCCTCGTTCCTGAATCACAGATTTTCCTCGTTTTCATTCGATGATGTCGAATCAAAATTTTTGTTTTGATTCGACACATTTTTTTGTAGAAGTGTGTCGAGTTGTTCAGTCCGATTTTTTTGTCCCTCGTTGGCCGGGCGATGGCGGTGTGAAACGCTAATCTGTCACTTCCTGTTTAGAGTCTCCTGGTTCCTCTGGGTTCTACTTGGGAACATCCAGACTGAAAACTTTTATTTTCTTTTTAAAGAAGCTCCATTTTCCGTTCACAAAGAAATCAAGATAAAAAAAAAAAACTGTGAAACACAACGTGTTGTCCAAACTGAGGCCGGAGGTCTGAGTCAGAGCGGTCCAGACTCTGGGAGGTTTTTAGTTTCATCATGAATCTTCAGACTTTAATGTTTGATCCATCTGATAGAAAAACGATAAGTGATGAGTGACCTGATTGGTTCTCTGATCTCCCACAATTCAACAGGAACATGGGACAGTTGTAACAGTGAATAGTAATAGATCCAGTCATGTAGTCCTGTTTTCAGACCAGGATCCTGGAACATGTCTGGATTATTAGTCTTCATCAGCTGTTTATCAATCAGACTGATCACTTATGAAACGTATTGATCATCACAGTTTGCCTGTCACCTCCTCAGGTTGTTTGAGTGATTATTAGTGATATTCCGCTGCTGTCTCACTCTGAAGTTTATTTAAAGACGTTTCGTTTGAAGCTCAGAGATGTTTTATGGAGACGATGTTGTAGACGTCTCACTCGCTCTGTGGTTTGACTCCCGAGCCTCAGTTTATCAACAGACAGACGGACAGGTAGGACACACTGACTGTTAGACAGGACAGAATGAAGATGATGATGATGAAGGTGGATTTTCCCTCTCTGCTGTTTGTAGTTTCAGCTGTCAGACTCTTTTTACCGTCTGTTTGCAGATCAGAGATTCTGAACTAAAAACTGTTTGAAACACAGACAAAATAATTCAAGTAAAAAATAAAGAATCCGTCTGAGTCGACCTGTGTACATGTTTTTTCTGATGTTTTAAATCTATTAATAAAGTGTCAAACTTCTCTTTGAATCGTCGTCGTCATTTAAACTCTTTCTTCTGTGGTGGTTTTACTGTAGGAGTGACGGTGGTGCCTTGCTCAGCAGCACGCTGGCAGCAGACCTCACGCTCAGATATTCTCACCTGCAAACAGATGTTTGGTAAACGGGTCTCCAGAGCTGATTTTACCAGAAATATCAGCAAGAAAATGGAATACAAGCATGTTCAGAACTCCACTGAGATTTTAACATTTTAGACACATCAGTGGGTGAAAGACTGAAACCTGCAGATGATAAAAAAAACAACATGATCCGAGTCATAAAACATGGATGTGACATGTTGCTAGTTTTAGGTAAAAACACCTCTGATAACCAGAGTGGGAAAATACCAGCAGGTACTGACTAAATACTGGACAAGTTAATCAGGAACTGGCAAAATACTGGACGATATAATTAGGTACTAGCTTATGAATACTAGAAGGTGCTGTCTAAATACTTAACAAATGCACTGGCTTAATGTTGGAAAATACAGCGACATATTGACTAGATCTGTAAATAAAAATAACAGAAGGTACTGGCTAAATTCTGGGTTTAGAGTTGGTTGGCCACCTCTGATAACCACTCTGCTCAAAAAGTGAGAGAGATACTTTGGTCCAATCCCAGTGTGAGGGAATAACCCAAAGTTCATAGCGTTGTGACATTAAACACGGGGTTTCCATGGTTATCAGGGGGGGCCGTAAAAAACGCAACCAATGGCCATAAAACTCAAGAAATAAGATAGAAGAACAAACAAGCCTGAAAGGAGCTAATGCTAACGTTAGCGTTAGAAGAACAGACAGTATGACAGTATAAACAGAGTCACTGTGATTCAGAGACTGAACTGTGGAGTTATCTGTCCTGTGATCACATGATGAGGAATTCCAAATATCCAAACTGGATCAGATCTGATCAACATTATTTTCTTGTTTACAAACAGGAAGCAAGGGGAGGAGTTTCAGATGAATTTAAAGAAATCCACAGAAACAATGTGAGGATATTTATTTACTGTTGAAACTGTTTTGTCCTGATACAACAGCCTGTGGACAAATATCATGACAGAAGACAGATCTGGATTATTTATGAATTTTGGATTCATATTATTTCACGTCAACTAGTGAAAACAGAAAATCAAATTGTTTGTTAAACAAACCTCATAAAGCCCCTTATAAAGATGTTTTAGAATATAATATAATATAAAATATGATACATAATTAAAATAGTGCAGCATGTTTGACACAGTGATGATGTAAACGATCTATCCATATCAGTCTGATGATGATTGATCATGTGACTGACCTGTTGTTGACATTATCAGTGACACCTGCCTCTCTCTTTACAGTGCTACTCTGAAGAGCTGCTGATGCTGAGAATCCTGTGGTTTGATTGGCTGAGAGGCTGTGGGCGAAGACCGATTGGCAGATGATCGATCACACGGACATAAATAATCAATAATCAATGATTATTGAACTGAAGAGTTTATATTTATAGAGACAAGGAAACATATTGATCAGTTTGATTCGATCAGTGTTTCCATGGATACCAGGTTCATGTTGGTGACCACATTTTATTTTGCGTCCTCCAATCAGCAATCAGATCATTAACAATCAATCAGTGATCAATCAGCTGACAGATGAACCTTTTAGTTTTTATTTTGTTCACCTGCAGGTGAGCTCTGGTCTCCATTGAAACAGGGAAACTTGCTGACTGAGAGTCAGAGATCAGTTTTACAGACTTTACTGCTGCACCTGAACACACTGTCTCTGCTCTGAAAACCAGACCTGAAGCTCCGCCCCTGTTGACACACCTATCAGGTGCAGTTTGAAACAAGTTTTTATTAAGAGGAGTGAGACAACAGTACAATGATAGGCCAGGACATGTTAGCCTAGCTTAGCACAAAGACTGGAAACAGGTGGAAACTGTTAACCTAGCGTAGCACAAAGACAGTGTGACTAACAGATGGTTTATTGCTTATTGATTAGGTGCAGAAACAGAATCATTCTTGAGCTGACTGTTCACACCTGATGTGGTGTGTTCTGGCCCCTCCCCCAATGGGTTTGGCTAATTATGCTAAGCTATGATCTACGCTGCGGTCCAAAAGTCAAAATAATCTCCTTTGCTAATTTCCCCACTGTGAGACTAATAAAGGAAAATTTTATCTTCTATCTTTGACCTTGATGGAGAACATCACGAGGTCAAGGAAAGAAATGAAGGAGAGGTCATGAAGATTTTCAGACTTTTTTTAAACCAACTTTATTTATAACATGTGGAGGATAAATCCTCCTTTAACCACAAACACAAAGACACAACATGAAATGCTGAAATAAGAAAACCTGAGAGGAAAATAAAGGAAGTTGAGCCATTAAAATAATAATGAAGTGAAAATAATGAAGTGAGGAGGAAGTCAGAAGAAATGATATTCAGACAGTTCAGAGAGTTTCCTGACAGAAAATGAATTGTAGTGTTTTACACCCTGCAGGGTTTTAGTGAAACAACATTTATGTATACACTGTAGTATTTAGTGATGATGAAGATGATGATGATGATGATGACTCCAGACTGATTTTAAGAGAAGAAATCTGAAGTTCAGTCCATCACAGTTCTGGATGAAACAGGAGTTTATGTTGTTTATACACTTATGTAGCTCTGCTTTGGTGAAACCACAATGGTGCATCACTTTAAATGTTCTGCAGCAAAGAATTGTGGGACAGCATCTTCTCCTTTCCTCAGCTCTGATCATGGCTGCTGCTCGGATCGTTTCACTTAGTTTGAGACCTGAACTGATTCTGTTTCTGTTTCTCTGTCTTCAGAAAATAAATCTGTTCTCAGATCAGCTGATATTGAAGTTGAATGGCTTTCAGTGTTGTGACTCCTGATTGGTTGAGTTTTCACCCTTCCCTTCAGTTTGTCTGACTTTTCTCTGATTTTATTTATTTTTATTTTCTCTGGTGAAACATTCAGGTGTGTAGAGATCCTTCAAATTAGTCAAGTGGTCGAACAGTTGACGTGAGGAGTCTCAGATAGATGAGGTCTCTGTATTTGACTTTAAAATGGATTCTGCTGTTTTTAGACTTAGTAACTCCAGTTGATTTAAATATTTTTGTTTTTTAAAACTCCTTCAGAAGAAATTCTGAAACAGATTTTAGACTTTAATGTTGGGAAAAAAAGCGGTAACGTCTCGTCTGTCAGTTATTCTAATGTTTCTCAGATGATCAGAGGAAGACACCTCACCTTCACCAGACTTCATGAAAAAAACTCAATTTAAATAAAAACCAGCAAAAAATAAATACATCAAACTTTCTAATTTTGACTCCTCAGTGTTTCTAAAGTCCTGGTTTGGGATCAACCAATAGAGACAAGAGACCATAACTCAGATTAAACCTGATAGATAATCAATAACCACCTGTTTCTTCACTTTAACAAACAGAAACATGACAAAATGAAAAACCAGGTCCTACAGAGGAAACAAATTCAGAGTTGTTGGCTGGAGCGCATCAGTGGGGTGAGTCCCATAAATGTGACTGAGCGATGAAGTTACGCCATTGGTCGGCCAGCCAAGTGTTAGAGTCTCTCCATTGGTCGTTGCTCTTTGAAAATGATTTGCAGCAAACAGCCAGTGTTTCAAACTTTGTGCATTTGTACCTAGATTTATGGACTTTTAAAAACAGAGCAACTTTTTTACAAATATAAATGACTTTTAGGAAAAACCTCAGATATAGTTCTACCCCTCCCTCCACAGACTCACCTCTCTACACTGAGCAGCTGACCTAAATGATCTACTTACTCTGAGTGACCATGTGACAGTGAATCCAGCTCTGTAACCATGGTTATAAAATCAGGATTTTAGCAGTGACTGCTGGTTAACATGTCATCTTAATCAGCCACGTTTCAGTCACTGTTTCACACTCATACCATTGTCATGACAACAGAAACAGAAAAACATGTCAATGCGAACAGCTTTATTCTGTATTCAGTTGTATTAAAATGTTGTATATGTGAGCGTGAAACCAGCTGACACTAGGCTGAAACCAGCTGATCCTAGACTGAAACCAGCTGATCCTAGACTGAAATCAGCTGACACTATACTGGAATCAGATGATCCTAGACGGAAACCACCTGACAACAGACTGGAATCAGCTGATCCTAGACTGAAACCAGCTGACACTAGGCTGAAACCAGCTGATCCTAGGCTGAAACCAGCTGATCCTAGACTGAAACCTTCTGACAACAGACTGAAACCAGCTGATCCTAGACTGAAACCAGCTGATCCTAGACTGAAACCAGCTGATCCTAGACTGAAATCAGCTGATCCTAGACTGAAATCAGCTCACACTATACTGGAATCAGATGATCCTAGACGGAAACCACCTGACAACAGACTGGAATCAGCTGATCCTAAAGTGAAACCAGCTGATCCGAGACTGAAATCAGCTCACACTATACTGGAATCAGATGATCCTAGACGGAAACCACCTGACAACAGACTGGAATCAGCTGATCCTAAACGGAAACCAGCTGACTCTAGACTGAAACCAGCTGATATATGGCTGATTGATGATACGACCCAGTTCAACCAGATACCGGATTTACACCCAGTCTTGTTACATTTCTATTTGTACACCTGAGAACCAGGATCCACAGTCTGAATTGGTTTGAACTGGTCTGGACTGGTGTAAACTGGTTTCTGAGGATTATTTGAAGCTTTGAATTGTCTGTCCTCACACGTTTTTATTTCTGAAAATAATGCAAATATGTGATGATAAAACAGAGAAATTAGTATAATTATTATAATAATTATTATTATTATTGTAATATTGTGTTCAAACTACAGTTTATAAATGCAATAAACAGGCTGCATGTTTGAAACAGTTTGGGTTATTTTATTGGGTTATTGATCAGAAATGATCAGAATTACATGGAAGTACTTTTACATTTTAAATAAACAGAATGTTCAGATTTGATTTAATTCTGGAACAAATAAGTTTCTTCAGATGTTCACAGAGGAGTTTTAGTTTTAGTGTGAGGCTTTAGTTTAATAAAACAGTTTATAATACTATAATAAGATACTTAGGGGATCACAATCAACACCAGTGTGGCACAGGGACACCAGGACCTCTGCAGGGGCAACAGCCAATCAGGTGAGAGGTAAGAGCTAAGAGGTTGATGGACACAAGATGTGTGGACGCAGGCTGCCTCAGTATATCAGTACTCAGTACTACATCATCACATTAGTACTCACTAATACATTATCACATCAGTACTCAGTTGGTCTTCCACACCTGTTGATAACACACCTGTCCTCTCACTGCAGGTGTGTAACTGATTAAAGAGAGTGTGGCTGTACACCTCAGTAATAATCAATAATCAACAATCACTGATCATAAAACCTGTTGTATTGGAGAAAGTGACCCACCTGGGCAGGTGAGAAGCTTCTCGTGTCACGTGTGTGTGTGTGAGTGTGTGTGTGTGAGTGTGTGTGTGTGAGTGTGTGTGTG